AATGACACTCGCAGTCCCTTGACTGGCAGTCCAGAAAGTGGGTGAGTGGAGGGTATAAGCGAGGAACCTTGGGATTCTCTGTGGTAAAAGTATGATATCTTCTCTGACTGTCTTTAAGAATAAGCTAAATGCTTTCCTGTTGGACGTATTTCACTGTGCTTCTGCCTTGACCTCTCCCATCAATACACCAAGATTAAATTCCTCAGTTCTATGATTCCAAAATTTCTTAAAGAAAATTAATATTTTGCTTTGTATTTATTGTCTCTGTTGATTGATCATATTCCTATCATTATCTCCTCCTTTAAGAGGAAAATCTCAGACGATAAAATCAAATAGCTCCACAGAAGGACCCTAATATAATTCTGTAATCAGTTTTGCTCTCTGCTGTTTCCCTTAGCACAGAAGGGTACACTGTACACATAGGATGGTGAGTTATCTCAGAGGTCAAGTGCATTATTTCATTTCTTCAATATACAGAACTTGAGTAACTTATTTTTTTTTTTAAGATTTTATTTATTTGCGAGAGAGAGCACAAGCAGGGGGTGAGGGGCGAAGGGAGAGGGGAAAAGCAGACTCCCTGCTGAGCAGGGAGCCCAATGCGGGACTCGATCCCAGGACCCTGGGATCATGACCCAAGCCCAAGGCAGATGCTTAACCAACTGAGCCACCCAGGCACCCAGAACTTACTCAACCTATGATGGGGTTACATCCCCATAAACCCATCATAAGTCAGAAATATTGTTAAGTCATAAATGCATTCAATGCACATAATTTACCAAAACTGGCTTACTAGCCTACCTGACATGGGCTCAGAACACTTACATTAGTCTACAGCTGGGCAAAATCGTCTAACACAAAGCCTATTTGATAATAAAATGTTAATTATCATGTAATTTACTGAATACTGAAAGTGCAAACAGAATGGTCCCATGGGTACAGGAGGTTGTTCACTCTCATGATCGCGTGGCTGAGGGGAGCTGCAGCAGGCACCTCTGCCCGGCCTCATGAGAGTGTCATACCACAAACCACTAGCCCCAGAAAAGATCAAATTCAAAATATGATTTCTACTGAACTCTTACAGCTTTCACACCATTGTAAAGTAAAAAAATCCAAAGTTGAACCATCATTAAGTCGGGGACCGTCTGTATCTCTCTTTCTGATCCTAAGAAATGCTATTTCATGAAGTTAATTTCAGGAGAGGCCTTTAGCTTCCAAATTCTGTAAAATAATTGGGAATTTAATTTTAGAGCTTAAGTCAGCCCTTGGACACTTTCTGATTTACTATCCTAGGACATTTTCTCTGGGATTATACATTGATCTAATTTTTGTGGCTACCCGAGTTAATATATCTGTAAGTATGTCATTTTTAGTTTAGGTTGTTGTGAGAAGGTTGTTGTAGATGTAAACCTTTCCTCAGAGTCTTTAAAGACCCGCACTGAGCTAATAAGTAGAACTGAAAAGCAGCCGCCTAGTATTGGGGTTTACCTTGCAGTAAGATTCTGTTACCTCCGCCCCCAGCATTGCTCAGCAACCCCCTCCCCACCCCACATCCATAAATGAAGGCTGATGTTTCCTGGGACTCTATCTAATGGACAACAGTTTACATCATTCAGGACCCATGTAACAGAACTCATCAATCTGAATATTGTACATCGTTATTCCTGATTATTCATTTATGTCCTAACCCTTTCTGTCATGGAAGTGAAAAACAAGTGAACCCTAAATTTCAGCAATAAATCTTAAATTTTATGTGCACAATCTCAGAGGACTTCATCTTAGTTTATATTTGTGTGTTGGACGCTGCAGATCGATTGCTTGTTTGTTTTATTCTTCTGTTGTATATTTATCTTAAGCCATAAATCCCTGGATCAGGAAGCTTACTGCCACAGCTGCGGAGATCAGTGCCATTTATCAGTGGGGAGTCGGAGGGGCCAGAGCACGTGAACTTTACTTTGAATACGATGTAGCTGGCACTAAGAAGCAATTTCATTGTCTGCTTGTTAATTTGGGGGATGCATTTTAAGAGAGTAAGAACATTTTTAAGGATTTACAGTGGATCATTCTGAAAAATAACTCGATCCAATTAAATGAATCCTGTTTATCTAAAAAAATTCTAGTGAACTGAACCATCAAACTGTATGTTTTATACATTGCTAGGAGTCTCTTTTGTTCCTGTTATTAAAAACAAGGGGCATAATATGTCCCATTGCATATGTTATTTTCATACTGTGGTACTTAAAACTGTTCTATACCCACAACATGTAAACAAGAGTAAGGTAGCAAAAATTATATTTGTAAGTACAAGTAGGAAAGAAGAAAACTCTGTTCAAATTGGACTTTGAAGGAGCAAAAATCAAACTGACTAGTCATCTTGCCCCTACCGCCCACCAGAATTTTATCAGAAATTGCCGAACATTAACACTTGGAGGGAACATCCATTATGTTTCAATGTTTAATGTATTCCCGTCAGGCACCAATGTATACCCCGGCCATGTCCAGCAGGAGGCGGGGCAGCTTTAATTTTCAACGATTGATGAAAACCCATGGCCCCTCCCCAGTGCAGCCTGCTCTACACGTGATAAACTGGGTGGCCAATGAATATTTGTGACAACAGGTTGAACATTGTCCAGCTTTCTGCTCAGGCCTTTATCACACAAATAAATACTTTTAGAAGTAATTATTCCTTTAGGAAAATGAATACTCAGGAAAGGTTGAATCTATAACTTAGACAAATTTGAAAGCATTTAAGTGGGGCGCCCAGGTGGCTCATTCGGTTAAGCGGGTGCCTTTGGCTCAGGTCATGATCCCAGGGTCCTGGGATCGAGCCCTCTCCCACTCTCCCTGCTTGTGTGCTCTCTCTCTGTCAAATAAATAAAATCTTTTAAAAAAATGAAAGCATTTATGTTTACCAAAAGATTCATCTTGTGAACCTCAAAAAACAATTTTTCCATAGTTCACTTGAACTATTTAATGTGTAACAATTCTTTTTATAAACATCGTTAGAGAAACAATAATTTCATAAGGCAAAGTGCAGGTGAAGAAGTTTCCTTTGCATTAAAAAGAAGATTTAATACACTGGGAATGTCTACAATGAATATGCAATCTCTATATCCAGTCAATTTTTATTTGAGGACATTTTCATATAGTTTTTCATTTCAGTTGATTTATTTGGCATGACTAGATTTATAATCATCTAAAACGATAAACCTAAGCAGTCTAGATTTTGTCTTTAGCGTATAAAGAATTTTCCTTTCTTGGAGTGTTAAGTAACTTCCAGTTCCTCAAAATACTCAAATTTGTTGTTTTTGCAAAACTCCCACAGACAAAGAAGAATGGAGGAAAGAAATTGTAAATGGTTCTCGGAGCTTCTTTGAGTGAAGGTGCCTAATGCCAGGAACGTAGCAAGTTTGAGTTGGTGCTGAGGGGGACTCTGGTTTTGTGAGTTCAGAGGATGTGTTTGAGATAGGCCCAGTTGGAGACAGGGGCCTAGTGGAGTTGGGTTATGGGTAGGGCCATGAATGTCTTTCTGTGGGGCTCAGTTGGGTTGGGACTTGGGGTTTTTAATTGTCTTTGGCTCTTTATATCAAATGAATTACAGAATTGGGCAGATCACCTTCTAATCATGGCATAGACTAAAACCATTACAAAAACAGAGATAAAAATGATTCTTAACTTACATTATGTAGGTAATTCAATTTTTCACATCCTTTACATGTGTAAACCTTCCCTTGGAGTTAGGATGGAATTTTCAAAATGCTTATGAAGCTAAAATGATTCCTTGATAGAGTCACGATTTTTTTATGTCACAAGGGACTGTAATCAGCACAAACCTGCAGTCTGGTTAGACAACTGAGGTAAAGATTATTATACTTGAATAGAATGAGACATTGTTCATATCATGTATCTCTTCTGACCACACCAAATTTGACTGCCTGCATAATTTTCGTTCTTTGAATGGTATCATAATATGCGACAAGTGATTAAAGTTTCTAAAATAATGTTCATGTAAGATGCAAGAATATTCATACCAGCTCATAAGATGGAGAATAATCCCTGCTGACCTAAATTAGAGAAGGGCTGTGTGGCACAGACTTGCTTTGTGATTCATCCATCCGTGTTACTTCTGTTCCATCGCCTCGTGCGTTCTTGAGGAGATGCTGCATTTGCCATAGAACCCGTAGGCAAAACGCATTTTGTGTGTGTCTTTCATTACACAAGCATTATGATTTTCAAAGTCATGTAAAGTCATGCATCATGTATAAGATCTACAATCACGAGCGGTTTTAAAACAAGAAATCAAAGGTAATATTTGGTAACTTATCAAACTACATTTTAAGCTATTCGTGAGCAAAAATCATAATGTGTAAAGAGAAAACCACTTTTCTGTAACTTTGTTCCTTGTATTTTCACAACTGCGTATGGACAGAGCTCTAGGAAAGCACTGCATTAGACTGCGAAGAGGAATATCAACTAACAGGATTACAGGGTGTTTTTTGTTAGTGATGGCTTTTAATTTCAAAATACGAAAAGCTCAGGGAGACATGTTGTCCACTGATAGCTGGAAGGCTAACGATAGTCACAGTGCTAGCATTTCATCAGCTCAAATTTCTACCGGGCGACTGGTTTCCAGCGGCTTCTCTCGTTCAGTCTGTCCAGAAATCCTACGAAGTGGGCAGTGCTCCTTCCCGCTTAGGCGTCAGGTCAGTAGCATGTCACCGGGCTGGAATGTGAGGGAGCCTTCCAACGCTGGAGGAGACACTCTCACAACACCCCCCCCGCCCCCCGCCGGGGTCACAGGGCCCACGTCCCGAGGGAAACAGGCTGGAGTGACCACTTCGTTTGGCACTCGGCGCGTATTCTGGTCCCCCGAAGGCTCCAGTGTACACCTGGCGAATTAGATCCCGTCTGTGACATCAAATGTGGTGGTTTTTTGTCCTTTTATGGGACAGAAGGCAAACCCTTTAGAAAAGTTTTTTCCTCCAGTGTTGCCGTACCTACAGGGCCAGCTGTAGCCGACAGCTCGTGCAAGGTGAGCCATCGCGGCGGCTGCGCCATTTCTACGTGCCCGCGGCGGAGAGGTAGGACAAGGCCGCAACCAGTTATTGTCACCTTTGGCATATAAAAGTAACTATGAAAAAGAGTAAGTCTTGATTAAAGCCTTAGTTCCGGGAGCAAATAGTGTTAACTCAGTACTGTCTCCAAACTTTGGCCAAGGAAATGTCCTGCTCTTTCTGTACATTTCCATTTTAATTCAACAGGACATTTTTAGGCTTAATGGATTCTTCATAAATAGCCATTTATTCACTCTGTCCCTTCCACATTACTCTGTTATTCTAAGCATTTCCTCAGAGGCCTACTACCGCAGAGCACAGGTTATGCCGGCAGAACCCTTGTTAAAACGGACTTCTAGGAAACAAAACAAATTTTATTCCTCTGGCTTATTTTCTTTTTTCATATTTTTTATCTACTCGTTTAATTTATCGCTTTATGGATTACTCAAGAAATACATGAACATAATTTTATTGTAAAGATGTAAATAAACTGAAAATCCTCTTTAATTCTCCGACTCAATCCTACAAGTACCTGCCCATTGGAACCCAGATTCAAGAAGAAAAAGCCCCACAGGCTTCTGTGTGTGTGTGTGTGTGTGTGTGTGTGTGTGTGTGATGCACAGTGGTGGCCAGGACTTGGGTTTGTACGTGCATCTGCAGTTAAGATGATTTTAGAATGTGCTGGGAAGAATTGAAGCCTCTCATAGTCATTCCAGGCTTTAGGTCCCTTCTTCTGTGGGTGAGAAGTCAAGAGAAGTTATTTTTCACTTACCTAATCTTTGTTTTATACCAACTTCTGGTGCACTTGGGTGTGCTTCTGCGAGTGTGCACACTCACACACCTGTTAACGCGCGCTGTCTGCCTAACCTTACATAGTCTGGGGGGATCATATTTGATGCTTTTTTTCTTTAGACGTAGAGGTAGAAATTCAAAATCCATTTGGATTTTCCTTTATCAACTGTCAAAGAAACATTGCCACTGTTTGCATAGTTGCACGTAGCAAGCTGCCTGTAGGCAGCTCAGTTGTGGCCACCGCCATCTTTATGAGTCAATGTCTGTGCTGGCGTTTGGGTATCTTACTGCATTTTGCCCTTATTGGTTGCATTTAGTTGGATGGAAAATGTAGATGCAGCTACTTCTACAACAAGGCTGTAAATGATTAACTCTTCAACTTCGATCAGATGCTCAGTTTTGGTGAAAACGCACACAATCAAAGACCATGTGCAAATTTGAAAAAAAACGCATTGCCAAGGAGCATGTAGTGATGGACCTTTAAAATCCTTTTGCCTGTCTCAGAATGGAAAGTCCCCGTAGCCTTGTGTTTTTCACGAAGACTTCTGCAGATCTGATGTCTGGGCTTGTTTTCCGGAAGGCATGAGAGCAGTAGAGCGTTCAGCTAGTATCTCAGGAGTCGGACAGACTCAGTCCAACTCCAGCCATCGGGCAAGTCCTTTCTGTTCCCGGGGCACGGGTGTACTCCTCCCACCCACCTCAAAGCACTGCTGTGAAAATTAAATCAGATGTTGCCCTCAGCATAGTGCCCGGCACATAGTGGGAGTTTCAGGATGTTAGCTCTCATTATCCCTGTCTTCTTCTCCATCATCATTGTCATGGTCACGGTGTGTGTATGCAGGAGAGCACAGCCCGCACTCCTGCCTCGGTTGGATCTAGTCATGATACAACTCAAAACCCCTCGAACCAGTGAGGCACCAGTGGCCATTGAGAAAGGCCACTGGCGTTTGATTTATAATCCAGATGGTGTATTTCCACTTCTCATGTTATTTCTTAACCACATACGCACACATTCTTCACATCCTTCTTCATGCTTGATTTTAAGCATTTCATTTTTCGCCTTCTGCTTTGTGTGGAGAAAAATAAGGCAACAAGGTTCTATTTTGGCCATGGAGGATGGAACCTGGGATCTATGTAGCCATGTTTGTTTCTGCATCCAGAGATCACATATACCCAACCCAACCATGTTAAATGCACTCAGAAGAAACTCAATCAAATTAAAAGCATGATATAGGCATGCTTGTGAATCAAAAGAAGAAAACCTTTTACTTTGATTATGGTCAAAAGAAAAAAATAAAAGCCTCTGTAAAAAAAAAAAAAGTTTCATACGAATTTATTTAAACAAATCCTCATGGGCATGTCTGAATAGCCATTGATGCTGCACTTTGTCCCATTTGATTGACACTTTTGAATAATACCAGAAATGCTAATTATTCTGTGTTTTTCTTAGGAGATTTGCATACTGGGACTAGTTGAATACGGGGCTTCACGTTTATTGACTCAAACAGAATAGATGAAGACAAAGACTATGTATATATGTGAATGAGTATTTTCTCTTTAAACTGGTCATTTATTCCAATAATGATTCTGCTGATCAAGCTACTTTTCAAAGTCTTTTAAATGGATCCAAAGCAATATTGAATATCGAATATTGATCCTTTGAGGGTAAATTGGATTTTTCAGAAATTTCCAAAAATCTTTTAGAACCAAATCTTGTAAATGAGATGAACACCAAATCTAAGTAACGTTTTAGGTGCAAATTGAGATGCTATATAAAATAATAAGGCTGGCTGTCTTATGTGGATAGGTTTCTTGTGTGGACAGTTTTCTTTTTTAATAGAAGATTTCCAAAACATTTTGAAAAATGGCAACATCATTGCAATGATATGTTAGCCTCCAAAAGCAGTTCCTTTGAAGGAAAAATACTCCATTAGATGTATACATTCTGTTCTGTTTAAAATTCAGTCTTACATTCTTACCATTGTACTTAATGTACAGTTTATCTGTAGACAGTACTTTTAAAACTGACTTGGGACTATGTTTCTATTGAGAATATATAGTTAAAATAACTGTGAACACAGTGTTTAGCCAGATTTGTTAGCATTTGATGGTATTAGCATTCAGATTTCGCTATTTGAATTTTTTAATTAATGAAGATTTTTCAAAGTTTGTATATAACTCCTGATTGATAACTGACAGATTTCAATTTGGGGCACATGTAAAATGTATAAAAGCTCATTTACTATGCTAATTTTTTACTGCAAGAGACTACAACAGTTCTCATTTCCCCCTTAAGCCATGCCCCCTGATGCCACTGATTTGTTTTCCAGCAATGGCGAGCCGGCAGGTGGATATTGCGACTCAGGGCTGGTTCATTGGTCTAATGTGTGCTGTCGCTCTCCTTATCTTAATTTTGCTGATTGTTTGCTTCATCAGAAGAAACAAGGGTGGTAAATATCCAGGTAAGAAAGAAAGATTAAAATTGCCTTAGAATGCTGCATAATTATTCAAAACTATAAAGAAATAATGAGAGTGATCATATAGATTGCAATAAGCATATTTTCCCAGAGCCATAAATTTGGACTTTCTGTCCAAACAATTTTTGATCCCTTTTTTTTTTATAATGGGAGCCTAAACATTGTCAAGGATCAGAAGATATTTGGGGGAGTAAATTCATCTGTTCTCTGAAGATATTAGTGACTCTGCTTCCTTAGGTTCCACCTAAGTCACAGCTGCTACACCTAAAACCAACAGGCAGAGGGGGAAGGTATATGGAATCTTCTGGAGGAGATACTGCATGAACTGAGTCTTGATATCATGATGTGTAACATTGCCTTTCCTCTATGGCTAATGTTTTCCTCAATTCAGTGGGTCCAATGAATTTATATTTTCTTTACTTGGCCATTTCCCTTTCAGTGACAAGAAAAAAAAAATCTGCAAAAGAAGAGATGTGCTGAAACAATTTGTAACCTTGAATATAGTTAATGAATAGATGGGCCAAATAGGGGAGAGATCTTAGAGACTTCAGACTTATTCCTTCATCAGTAGGATGCTCACAGGAAGTCAACTTTACATGTTAACAAATGTTCATTCTCTTAGGTTGTCCCAAAGAGACTAAAACAGCAAAGTATATGCATGGCCACATATGCATCTGTTGTGGTATGACATCTGCTGTGTATAGAATTATTTTCTACTGCTGTACATCTCAGGGAGTTCAGTCTTTAAAACTTTGAATAAGGAAACATGGAATCAATAGGTAATGTTACCACTTTGAAATTTTTTAGTCAAAGAGAAGGAAGATGCTCATGCTGATCCTGAAATCCAGCCTATGAAGGAAGACGATGGCACTTTTGGAGAATACAGGTGAGCCACTGCTTCTCAGCCTCCCTTCACCCTTCCCACCCTGCACACACACTGTGCTCATACAGACTCCCGCCAATAGGATGAGGCCAGGGACAGGCTCTGTGGCATTGCCTGTTTTCCTCAAATATTAGTTTAGAAACACTTCCATGTCTACATGGCTACACATCCCCAATGAAAATATTCTCACTTTTCATTAAAAAATAAATTTCCATTTTAGTCATGGGTTTGGAGACAGAGTACCTTCCACCCCGCCGTATTTTTCCAGAGGCATCGCTGTATTGCTCAACCTAGGAAAAGCTGGTGTGTTATAGTAAGAGTTAAAGCAACAGTAAAGACCCTACAAAACCTGCATTATAAAGGAAACTACACCTGTCATTTTCTAACTAGTGAGTTTATAAAATTGGTGTTACTTTTTTTAATCCTGGATTTGATGCTTCTTTTTCCAAAAGAAATACCCATATCCTGTCCATTAATCATGAAAGGATGGCAAGGTTCTTTTAGAAGCTGTAAATTATTAAGAATATCATAGACCTCTAGGCAGTGTGTTAATTCACAGGACTTTGATAATACATTCTTGGCTTGGCTCCATCGTTAGGGATAAATTTTAACCTATGTGCTAAATAATGAAAAGGGGCAGGGGGAGAGAGGGAGAAAGACTCTTTAAATAAAGATATTCTTACCTAGGATTTCTATGTCTTTTTAAAAAGAAATAGTTGATTATTTTAGACATTTTTAAAATCAGAAACAAGCTCTATATTTGTTCCTTTAAAAAGTTGGGATTTGGGTGTTCCAAAGGAATACTTCTATTTATAAAATGCCTTTATACCTTGTTTTTTCTATCAGCCTCTTAATTATAGAAATATAGTCTTTTAAATATGCACTGAGCCCAGATTGAGCCTTTTTTGGCAGATGAAAAGGCTTTTAGGTGAAATAAAATATTTCCCTGTTGTGATTGCCAGATGACATTTATAGATATTTGTGCTAATTTTTACTCATCTCTGGAGCTCATTTTTGGTATTTCCATGTCAATATCATGAGGGGCTAAGTAATGCTAAGGATAAGAAATATGATAACTGATTGAAAAAAACATATATTTTGGATACATTGGTTTCATATCAGTTTCCATGCAGATACAAGTGTTTGGACTTTGTGCCTCAGCACCTACACCTTCAGATGTTCTGATCTTCTCTTCCACGGAGATGATTATGATTCGTAAAACTTCTCAGAATTTCTGTACCTCATGATACAGAAAGATGTCTAGTGAGGGTTGTCTGGATATCACATGTTGACTCTGGGACTCAAAGTCTGTGGAAGCTTCCTGGGCCACCCCCTCCCCCCAACTCTCCACAGGACATGGTAGGGCAGTGTGCAGATGGCTGTAGCCTAGGGAAGCCATGTGTGACCCTGGGTGAGTTGCAGTCTTCGCTGATATAATTCACTCTTGTGCATGTTTTTCCCATAAAGCAGGTGAGGCCATAATAACTAAATAACTTCTTAGCGTTTTGGGGGCTAGAATGGTACACAAGATAGGCACACCACTCCCTTCTTTATTACAATGAAGCTACATCTTCCATGTAGCCGGAAACACCTCTGTATTGGCATTAATCGGAAAGAAAGCATGGCACCTCCTGCGTTCCCGTTGTCCGTCATCGTGCTTAAATTGATCTAGTGATGTACTGCTCGCCTCGTGGCTCCCCAATGTCAGCTTGCTTTTACAGTGGTGTGAAACCAGGGTCTGATGTAATGTGACGTTCTCAGGGTGACCATGCTGCCTACTCCGTAGAAATGGGATTGAAATCGAGGTTGAATAGGAACCAGCCCGGAATCCAGAAACTGTTAGTTTTACGGTCAACCCAGCCCTACCCTTGATTCCTTTAGATATGGCACTTGATGTGTCTGGGTCTCCATTTCTTCCATCTGTAAAATGATACAGTTCAACTATTAGATGATCCCTGAAGGTTTCTAGTTTCTGCGATTTCTAACCTCCTCCACGAGATGTCTGCTAACAACCTTTAATATGATTTGGGCTTCCAGAGCAGTCCACGGCAAGTATTTGGTGACTGGCCTCATTATCACTGTGTTTACATTTCTTTGGCCATATTCCTCTGTCTTGGTGTTCATACATATGTGACATGTTTGTGAGGCGTCTTCACGTGGCTGTCTTTAACTCATGCCTTGAGCTCCTCAGAAGAGAAAGACTTTTCTTCGGGCCTATCAAGTACAGACCCGTTGGTTCATGTGTGAAGACAAAACTGTTTGCCACACATAGAATTACACTGATGTGGGAGGTACCAAGGGAAGGTTCTGATGGGTGTCTAAAACTTAATACACAACCCAGGAATTTTTTTTTTTTTCACCTAAACTGCCAAGTCCATAAGGACAGTCAGTCCCACAAGCGAGGTCACTTTCCCCAGCACCCAGCCACCTACAGCTGTGGCTTCGTCCTGTGACGTCTTGACACTACCTCAGAACTTTTTCCCTGTGGATTCTTTTCTACCTAAAGAGAAAAAAAAAAGACTTTTAGTTTCTTAGATGTTACGACGAATGAAAACGGTTCCAACTGTTTATTACAACAGATTTTTTTTTTTTAATAATACATTGAAGTGTCATTCTCCTTCCTAAATCACCAGGGTCCCTTCTCTGCTTTACACCTTCTGGAAGTTCTGAGCTCTGTATTATTTATTGATGCTTATTCTTTTTCATTCTGAAAATAAATTAATATGCGGATCACACGCCAACACAGACAAAAGTAGGGCTATCACTAAATGTAAATTAATTCTGTTTATGATTTGCTCATTCTCCAGCTTGAGGATGAAACAGTTTCTACATGGTTGGCTCTGAGCCAGGGGATATTTCATAGTGCAAAGAGGGATGGAACTTCAATGGCCAAATTTGATTTTTTTTTTTTCCGTAAGCTGTAACCTTGTGCCTCCCTCCAACTCCCACCCCCAAGTAGTGACCCTCTGGTGGAAGCCTGCAGCTTTCTTTGTTTGTTTCTTTAATTATGCAGACAGTAGGATCTGCATCCTTACTAGCATATAGAAAAATCAGAGAAACAATGCAACCAACCGTGTAAGTATTTTTTTTATTCTTTAGATCCATTCCTTTAAAAACCAGGATGAACCTAGGTCATAAAGACTCTGACCGTGGTACTTGAACCCATAGCATACATGGAGGCTCTGGGCATGGGAATCTTGTCATTTAAGTGAACATGGTTCTGTTCCAAGCATGCTAACCCATGCTCATTGGGCTTGAATGATGTGAAGATGGGTCACATGTGCTACCTACTTTAGATTTATTCTGCACACAAACATAAAGTGGTGTGTGAACAGTATAAATAATGATGGACGTTTAGAGGGAGGCCTTGGGTCGTGAAGGTCAATCGAATTGCGGCAAGATTTGGCAGTGGTGGGATGGTGACCACAGGAGAGTCAGACCAAAAGATCACAGATTTGTCTGTCGCTGCTGGATTTTGGTCAGTAGACATTCAATCGGTACCTCCTGTGTGCGTAACCCTGAATGAAGTGCTACTGCAAAAAAGGTGAACTCCTTAAAATTCATCCTGAGGGTAAGAGAAAGGAAAAAATATATATATACTCCAGTGCTTTGTCGGACATCGTGAAATTCACAAGGAATAAAAGTTTTCTGATGTTAGAATTCTGAAAAATTTCTAAAAATGCCCACCATCTCTTCTATTGTGATTTTACAATGAATTCATTCATTCAACCCATATTTATTGAGTGCCTACTGTATGCCAGGCTGTGGGGATATTAAAAATGATAGAATGTTATCTCACTAGTTTATAGTCTAGGGAGGGATCCAGGGAATGAAAGAAGAGTCAGCATCATGTGAAAAGTGCTATGAAAGAGATACAGCTCAGGCTGAAAGCCAAAGCTAACTGGGTGGATGGAAGGAAGGTGAGGTGGGAACCCTTCCCAGAGGACGCGGCACAGGAGCTGAGTTCTGGTACCGTGATGGGAACATTCCTTTACACTGCAAAACCATCTTCATGCATGGCTATGAGGATCAAAAATATATTTTGGAGCCACATGTACTGTTTTATGACTTAGTTTGAAATTTGTTGAATCTTTGTCCTTAACAGTTCTCGTAAAACATGGCTGAATATTTTTAAGCTTTTAATACCGTGTAGCTAAATAAGTGTATGACTTTTAAGTCATCCTCCATAACTTCTAAATTCCCCTCATGTGGGAGGCTGCGCTTTCACACTGAAACTTGACAGAGCGACTTCCCTTGACACGATGTCAAAAGCAAGTTTGTTTACTATTTCATTATAGAATTCATCTTTGAGTTGAAAAAAGGCAAGCATTAATACAGTACTTCAACAGGGCATTGTAACCAGGCATAGCTCTGGAAACTTCTAAGAGTGTGTGTTACACAGGATATTTGTGAGAAAAGAATCTCTCTGGGGTGGGGGCCTGGAGTGGATCGAGGAGGTGTGATGGTAGATAGATGGGTACTAATATTTGTTGGGCACAAATCACATGCCGGGTAATGGGCTGGTGCCTCATATGATTTTTTTCCCATTTAACCTGATTCTAACTGAAGTATGACATTACGTTGTACGACTTTTTAAAACCCAGTCTTAGAAAGATCTTGAGCTGCCTTGGAAAAGCTTTTCCTGGAAAGACTCTGTGTATGGCTAGAACACCCCTCTTCCTTCCTTCTCTTCTTTCAAGCACAGCCTACGGTGCTGTAGATTCTCTCTCATCCACTATGACCATTAAACTGGAATGGATGTGGGGCGCCGAGGTGGCTCAGTTGGTTAAGCATCCGACTCTTGATCTCAGCTCAGGTTGTGATCTCAGAGTGGTGAGTTCAAGCCCCCCATTGGGCTCCACACTAGGCATGAAGAGCCTACTTAAAAAAAAAAAAAAAGCTGGAATGGATGCTTCTGGGGAGCCCCTTCTTGGCTGGTCATTATTCATAACGGATAGGATTATGTGTGTGTGTAAAAATCCAAATGAATCAGGAAAATATTAGAATTCATAAAAGAATTTAGTGATGTTGCTTGACACAAAATTAACATGAAGTCAATTATATTTCTGTGTACCAGCAAAGAGTTAGAAAATAGGATTTTAAAAATAATCTCAGCGATGATAGGATAGAAATATGATGTAGGAATAAAGCCAACAGAAAGATCTCCCAAATATCTCAGGGCCCTTTGTTTGATTTGTCTATCTTTGCACCAAAACTACACTATCTTAATCCTGTAGCTTTTAATAAGTCTTGATATCTGATAAGTCAAAACCCCCAACTTTGTTATTCTTCCTCAAGAATTTTTTAGATATTCCTGGCCCTTTCCTTTACATATGCGGCTGAGAATCAGCTTGCCAAGATCCACATAAAAACCTGCTGGGTTTTTATTGGAAATGAATTTTTTAAGACCAATATGAAGAAGGTTAACATGCTTATGATATTTGAGTCTGCCCGTCCACACTTATGGTATGTTCCTCTATTTATTTAGCTCTTCTTTAATAACTGAATAAAACTTTCATTTTCTTCATAGAGAACTTCAAACATTTTTATTGGTTTTGTTCTTATATACTTCATATTTGTATGATATAACTGGAATCATTTTTTATTTCATTTTCCAGTTATTTGTAAGTATGGAAATAAAATTGACTTTTATGCTAATATAGTATTTAGCAACATTACCAAACTCTCTTTTTATTCTAATGTTTGCCTGTAAATCCTTTTGGGTGTTTTACATGAGTGTAACTGTATTGGTTATAAATAACAACATACGCCTTCTATTTCTTTTTGCACGTTGCTTAGTACTTTCAATGCAGTTTTGGTTAGAAGTGATGAGAACAGGCATCCCTACTGTGATTTCTGATGTGAAACAGAAATCTGTCAACATTCACCATGAAAGATGATGTTTACTGCAAGTTTCTTGTGAATACCCTTAATCAGGTCAATCAAGATATTTATATTCCTAGAATATTGAAGTTTTTATTGTGAATGGATGTTGAATTTTACCAAATACCTTCTTCTGAATCCACTAAAATAATCATAACACATTTTTTTCTTCTGCTAAAATTGAAAAATATGAATTGATGTTTTGATGCTGAAACAAACTTGCATTCCCTGGAATAAACCCAACTTGGTCACGCTATGGTATCCTTTTAGTAGATTGCTAAATTCCGTGGGGTATGATTTCTTTGGGATTTGCGTATCTAGGTTCCTGAATGAGATTCACCTGTAATTTCACTTTCTCAAAGTGTTCTTGTTGGGTTTAGGTATCATTGTTATATTAGATTCATAAAACGGTGAAAGGAGTGGTTCTCCTAATGTAGCAAACTTAGCATGTCCACAGCTGAACTACTGACCTTCTACCCCAAACACGCAGCCTTCCATAGTAAGGGTAATTCCATCCTCTGTGTTGCACAAACCAAAAATCTTGGTGTCGTCTTTTTCTCTATTATTCCACATCCAATCCATCAGGACATCCTTCCGGTGCTGCTTTCAAAATATGTTCATAATCTAACCACTTTGTGTGACCCCAGTGTTCCACTCTCATCCAGATCACAGTCATGTGACTCCTGTGTTTTCGCACTAATCCTCTTCATCTAGCCCTGCCCCCTCCTAACTTAACTCTGCTCTCTCTCTCCGCTTCGGTTCCAGCCACACGAGCTCCGTTTCTAGAACGCGCTGGGCTTGCCACCACCGCAGCTCTTTTGCACTGCTTGCTGCGCCTGCCGGAATGGTTCTCCCTCCAGCTATCCACCTGGCTCACTCAACTCTTTTAAGTCTTTGCTCAGATGTCATTTCTACTGAGGCCTTCCGTGGGCACCCTGTTTCAATGTCAACTTCTACACCCTCGCCTGACACCTTCCATCCCCTTTACTGAGTTCCATATTTTCCATAGCACCAATCACCTTCTGACACACTGGGGAGCTGTTTTCATATGTTGGTTGTTTATTTTCTGTATTTTCCCCTATTGGAAGTAAGCTTAATGAATTCGGAGTTTCAGTCTGGTTTGCTTGCTGCTATATCCCCAATGACTAGAACAGTTTCAGTGCAGGCACTCAATAAACATGTGTTAGATATGTGAATGGTTGAATGCATGGATAGATGGCTGGATCAAAGAACTGCCACAGACTAGAATTTCCTGTCATGTATTTCTTGGAACACTGGTCCTATAAAGTAAAATGAACAAGTGGAATCCAGGTGACAAAAATCTGCTCATTATTGAACACGTGGATGGAATTTAGGGCCTCACCAAGTCATGAGCAATGTTTCGCAGGAGGTATTCAAGCACAGCCTAGAGGTTAATGATTAAAGATGTGCACTTTATCCTCAGAGCAGGTTGGAGATTAAATGCTCTGTCCCCCGAAGGACCCCAAACACAGGTCACTCCAAGGTCCCGTGATCCCTCCGCAGTTGTCAATTAGCAGTGGTGATCATCTTGTTTATTCGGCCTGTGACAAGAACTTGGGTCTTGTTGCAACTGGTAATTTCCAATAGCAGATACCCGTGTCCTGTTAAGCAAGTATTATTTTTGCAGTGTTGAGATTTGGAGAAAAATTGAAAACCCTAGTAGGAATTATTGGCCAAAGAGCCAGAATATTTGTGCATCCCGAAATGTGTGTATCTTGGCTAGAACAAAGCTCACTGTCAGAGACAGAGGGTGCGTAAAAGCCTCCACAAATTGGCAGGTGAAATATGGCCGCTGACACAGCCTCTTTTTGACGTTACGCCTGTCCACTTTTTAATAATACTGCTTTATGTTTCCTGTTCTGCCTTGCATTTTTGTCCTTCAAAAGGAAACAGAATGCTCTCGTGGCCTTTTATCTTTTTCTTTTAAACCAAATGTTACCTTTTATTTATTTTTTTAAAGATTTTATTTATTTATTTGAGAGAGAGAATGAGAGAGAGAGAGAGAGCATGAGAGGGGGGAGGGTCAGAGGGAGAAGCAGACTCCCTGCTGAGCAGGGAGCCCGATGTGGGACTCGATCCCGGGACTCCAGGATCATGACCTGAGCCGAAGGCAGTTGCTTAACCAACTGAGCCACCCAGGCGCCCCCAAATGTTACCTTTTAAAGAGTCGGTTACTGTGCATTCCTAGTGGCACAACTGTGTGGGTGGGTGTTCTAAAACATACTCTCCTATTCCCAGATATTGTGCTAAGGGATTTCATAGAGAAATAAAGGGGAAGAAACTGAGTTCTATAACGTTTTTAAAATCCTGCTCCTCAGATTCCCATCCAACACGGATAGGCTACATACCACCCTGGGAGAAGGGAGTACAGAGCTAAAATTTCCTCTGACATTTTTTGAATCACTCACGCTCTTCAGACTATATTGACATGCCATTTAATAGTACAGATAAGTAGTGCTCTGAAGGCCAACTGTGTCTCTGTCCAAATTAATCAGTCTTGACCCATTAACTAAAATTCTGACAGAAAAAAAAAATACTGTTTACTATCAGTATAAGGATTTTGCTTTTCTTCTTAGGCTGTTTTCATTTGTTTCTTCTGCATCCTTTTAATGGACTTTCTAGGTCTCTTGAAAGGTAAGGTTAAAGTTTACAGTCTGGCCTGCACTCAATAACAAAATTATTTGAAAAGCAGGATTTTGCTTCCTCTTGCTCAGAAAAGAAAACTCCTCATATTTCACACTTAACCAAAATCATTCTCCATTCATATCCAAGGAATCCGAGAATCTCACACAGTTTAACATACTAACTCCTCTACTTGCCATAAGCTTTCCCTTTCCTTTGAATTCAAAGTAGTGATGATTTTCAACTCTCCTCAATTCTTCCTTTTTTAATGCCTGTGACTATTTCTCAACTGCTTCCAAATCGGGAGTGAGAATCAGTCATTGACATTGACATGCGCAGTGAGAAGCCATCCACCTACTGAAGACTTCATGATTAAACCATTCCTGCACCTGATTTTCATCCCAACCACATCCCAGCCATCAGAGTCCACCTGACGATTAGATCTGGCTAGCGAGGCTCGCAACACCACACGCTTTATCGTAACCTGCATGCATGATCTTTAAGAACACAGCACTTCACCTAAATGCCAATCTCGACAAAAACGTTTTCTCTTTCTTCCAGTGATGCCGAAGACCACAAGCCTTTGAAAAAAGGCAGCCGGACACCTTCAGACAGGACAGTGAAGAAGGAAGATAGCGATGACAGCCTAGTTGACTATGGAGAGGGGGTGAATGGCCAGTTCAATGAGGACGGCTCCTTTATTGGACAATACAGTGGTAAGAAAGAGAAAGAACCAGCGGAAGGAAACGAAAGCTCAGAGGCACCTTCTCCTGTCAATGCCATGAATTCCTTTGTTTAATCTGTAAACTCTCTGCCAATATCCCATTTCTCTAGAATGTTTCTCTTAAGCACTTGTTTGTCTGCCTTCTCGTACTAGGAACACAGGCAGAAAATATGTGTTCTGCTGTGCGTTAATATTATGAGAGTGGTGCAAACAAGAACATAACTCAGATGATTTGTTAATGTGAACTGCAGTGCAAAGTACATCCTTTTTCATTCAAAATAGGTATTCTTGTTCAGAACTGATAAAAATAATACAACATCATCAACCGATCACGTTATTTGCTCTTCGGGATACAGTTCAATACGATGCATGAAAAATGCTACGTGTAAAGGAATACCTGTGTACCTTATTAAAACATGGTTTGATACTTTGTTTATATTCTCCTCAGCTGAACCCCCGAAATACGAATTCCGTTTTCATTGTCAAGAGTGTTACTGTAGAATTCTCTAGAACTCCAATGTCTTTGTGGACATTGTGGTGAAATTGGTGACTCTATGTCTAGCTGTCGTTAGTCTTTTTGGGAGACTGTTAGCAACAGTATGTACAGGATATCCTTGCTGTATGAGTTCATGACGACCGTCGCATTTGCTGATGCTTTGCAGAGACTCTGTGACCGGCCTCTGCCCCTTATTCCTCCAGGTATTACTGCAGCACAGTGTTCGACTTCTCACATCTTCTCTACGGTCAGTTGTTTTTAGGCATAATGTGTATTGCAGTGCATTGTGGCATGAATGCCAGACCGGAAGAATCGAAAACGAGTCACTCCACTTCAGTTTCAAAAATGATTCCAGAAAGCACAGGGCAAGACACATGCAGTGCCTTCAGATGGGAAGCATTCCATAACACGCTGCCTTCGGTAGCAGTCGGCATGGCCGACGCAGAGCCCTAGCTTCCTGGCGTGCTCCAGAAGTAACTTCTAGAAAGCAGAGGTCCTGGAAACAGCCAATGCTGAAAGAAAGGAAATGTGAAAATAAAATTAATCAGACAGTTGATGGTAAGGAGCATTTCCCCGTGTGTATAAAAAGAAAAAGGCTTAGCACCTCCTGGAGCGCATGCTGATTCTGTGGGTTTTGTGGTTTCTATTCAAGCAAGCCAGTTGGGTCAGAGGGCCGTCGATTTGGTAGGGAATCTTTGTTAAAAAAAAAAAAAGAAAATCTATTCCCAAACCGGAAGCAGACAACAGCATGCCAACAGGAATGCTTTTCTCCAGGCCTTTACCTAGGTGGCAGCTTCTGAAACTCTCGGCAGCATTAAACAGTGTGTATGCAAATTGCTGTGGACACATTTCCGACTCTCAGAAATCTGACGAGTGCTAACAAGGACAACAGTCAAAGGGATTATGTCTGCAGTTTCCAAAACAAACATAACACATCCTACCGTATCCACCAACGATATCTATCAAATGGTTTACCTCCAAATATGAAATCCTCTAACAACCTATGGTTGAAGGAATGCTCAGTTTCATTTGCCAATAAATTGGTTTCTCATAACTTGCATCAAGTTTAATTTTAAGTAAAGCTTTTTATATGTAGATATTTTGTTGAATCTGTAAATACACTGAAAGTGTAGATGCTATATGCTTAGAGGTGTTACATACGAATAAACACGCAACCAATGTTGACGTCGTACTGTCTATGAAGTTAGCTCATAAATACAGTGCATGGGATTGGAAAGCATTTCCTTAAATACCTTTTGGGTTTTTATTTTCCCTTTTTTGCTGTGAAACTGAAATAGTGAGCGCTTTGACATATTGACAGCGAGTTTCTAGATGGAATCTTCAGAGCTTTGCCTGTAGGGCTCAGGAGGCTTGTTCACTCCATTGTAGGCAGAGCCCAGTTTGAAGTCATCCCAGGTAAAGATGACCCTATTTCCACGGCTCCATATTCCCTTTTCACAGACCAACCGTGCTAATGGAAATACAGAAAAACAAGACAGGCTTGCCTGGGCACCAGTGAGCACAAAGATAAGAGTGACTAAGTTTGCCGTTGTTTGGGGGAGGGGGGGGACAGTAAAAGTACAGTTTTTACTCTTCCATAATGGTAGGCGCTAGAGTTATCTGTGCATGAAGGGGTCACCTCTGTAATAGTGCAACAGATTTTGTATTAAAAATTAAATGTGGTTTTAAACGTCCCTCTCTCTTTTGTAATAAGTCATGTTCCTAGTGGAGTGTGAATGTCCGAAGTAACGGTGTATTTAAAAGTACAGGCAGATATGACTGGATTTCCATGAAAAAAAAATCACTATTAAACCATCTTGATCTCTTTGTGATCTTGAACTTTGTCCAACATCTGTCTCCTAATGTTTTCAAATAGTGCAGATTTTTATTTTTGCCTCTGAAAGGCTGTAACATGCATAGAAAATTAACACAGAACCGAAGACAGGTATACTACGGAGCCCATGAAATAGGGGGCATGCCAAGGAATTTGTAACGACCAGCAGGTGGACATATGGGCCAGCCTTTCGAGAAACGGTGGGAGAAACCAGGGGCTGCTTCCCTTGCTGAAGCGGGCCCTCCGCGGGCCTGGTTCTCCGGTGCCTGCTGTCGGCCTGTCCGCTTGGCGGCATCTTCACGCTCCTCCGGGCAACGTGGATTCCTGCCCCTCCCCGGCTCGGGGGCATTTGCAAGTCTTCGGGGTCTGTCACCCGCGCCCTCCTCTCCAGCCCCGTCGTAAGCACTGTCTCAGACGCCACACCGTCAGGCACAGCTACGTGTGGCACGGAGGGGCTGGCCGGGGGAAGCCTGGCCGCAGCAAGTCGCGGTCCACTAGGGCCTTCCCGCTCGGACAGTTTGTAACGGCCCTGCTTTACTTCTAGTGCCTGATTTTGGAAACGGCTTGCGGAGGCAAGGGAGAGAGGCGCAAGGAACTCTCACCCCTCCTGAGCCGCTCTCTCCCTCTCACGGGATTTTGCCGCAAACTACCACCAGAGGGCTCCCGTGCTTTAGTCAGCGCAAAAGAAACTGCGGGAAAATGACGCCCCCGGAGAAAATAGTGCAAAGCGCTTTGTATCATCAGACTGCGGTCTGGCGGTGCAGAGAATGATTGCCTGCTGCGGCCGGAGAAGATGGGATTTGCAACTCTCTCGGAGCAGTTCACACCTTCCAGGGAGTCAGTATGAGTCACTGTGAGCCTGGCGCATCTTCTTCCTCTTACTGATTGCTGGGGGGCTGATCGGCAGGGGGAGGAGGAGGAGGGGCGGGCCCCCGGCTCCCACAAGGCACCCCATCACTGCCACAGGCTGGTGTCCCCTCTTCCTCCTGAGGGTGTCATTTTGTCTGCAGCCAGTGGTCCAATGCTTTGTGATTGGATAACACAAAAGGCCCAGTTTAAGGACAGTTTTTATTTTTCACTTAAAAAAAAAAAGGCAAGGGAGAGAATACAACCAGGGTATTTATGGTCAACAAACAAATAGTTCTCAGGTTGAGCTAGGAAGAGGCCAGGATTGACATTCCAACTCTGCCATCAGCCGTGACGGTGTAGAAATCACCCCCCTCCATCTCCCACATCTCCAGGCCTCTGTCTCTCCAACTTCAAAATGACAGAGAGCAGATGATTTCTAGCATCCTTTTCTGTTTAAATCCTATGGTTCCCAATTAACCCCCAACTACCCCCCCCAAAAAAAGTTTTTAGCTTCACTACAGCCAGGCATTTTGCTAAGTGGGGCAGGTACAAGATGAGCAAAACCAGATGTGGTTCCTGCTCTCATGGTGCCTGATAACCACCCAAATGAATGTGTAATTCCAAACCAAGACGAGCCATGAAAAGAAGGCATAGGTTCCATGAGAGCAAGCGGTGGAGGGGGCTGATGGTGCGGAGTGGTCAGGAAGTCTCCCCTAAGGAAGTGGGTGCTGGGCACAGGAAGGATCCATAAGAAGGCAGATAAGACCAGCATGCCTGGAAGAGAGGTAGGGCCTGGGCCAAGCTGAGTCCCAAGGACCACAGGACAGGCTTTCATCTTTATTCAAGGAGCAGTGTAAAGTGCGGAGTAATTGAAGAGGTTGAAGCAAAGGATTGTATGAGGAGATTTGTATTTGGGGTGGAGGCAGAATTCAGGAGATTGAGCAGGAGGGATGGGCTAGAAGAGGAGAGCCAGAGAGATTGACAAGCCACTGGGGAGCTTCGCAGTAGTTTAGACAACAGATGATGGGGTTGGATCTGGATCATCCCACTGGAGATGGGGAGAAGTGGGTGGGTCCCAAAGCTATTTTGGAAGAAAATTGTTGGGAGCAATAGATTCAACGTGGGAGGTTGAGGAAAAGGGAGGTATCAAAGACCACTCTTCAGTTTCTGACTTGTCTAACCGTGAAGTTCACTGAGGTGGGAACATCGGGAAAGAACCAGATTTGGGGGTAAGTCAGAGTTCAAGTTAATGAATGAGCTTGAAAAGCCTCTGAGACATCCGAGTGGAAAGGACTAGTAGAAATTGGATGTATGGGCTTAATGCTCCAAAGAAACTTCTAAGATGAGGAGTAGTAATGAAGCCATGAAGCAAGGATGAGATTGCCTAGGGAGGAAATATAAGCAAGGAGGCTAAGGACTCCACCCTATTGAGAAACTCCCACGTACAATGGACAGGAAGAGGCAGACGGACCTCTTAAAGCAGACCAGGAAGCAGGGGCCAGAAAAGCTGGGAAGAAATAAGGAGAGTGTGTTGTCTTGGAACCCAGTGAAAGAGACCATTTCGAGAACGGGGTCACATAATGCTGAAACATCACATATGTCTTGGGTTTGAAGGGATGGAGGCCATCTGAGACGGTAAAAGCTGTTGCTGGACTGTGGTAACAGGTTGAGGTGAGGAGTGAGTAGAAAGGGGAGGAAACGGACACATTTGCCATCACCCACGTGGACAGCCCACTTGTCCCTGGGCTCAGTTCCTTCTTACTTCCTTTTTTTTTTTAAATATGTTCTTTTCTAAAATTTTATTTATTTATTTGAGGGAGAGAGCACAAGCAGGGGGAGGGGCAGAGAGAGGGAGAAGCAGGTTCCCCAATGAGCAGGGAGCCCAATGTGGGGCTTGATCCCAGGACCCTGGGACCATGACCTGAGCCAAAGGCAGACGTTTAACCAACTGAGTCACCAGGCGCCCCCCTGGGCTCAGTTCCTTGGCATCTCTACCTGCATAATCACATAATCTAAGCATCCCGCTCCCTGCCCACAACCTCTCCCCCAACCCAGTGTCCCTCTACTTTCTCTCAGTCCTTCAGCTTATTCTCCTTTTTCCATCCCTTGTCCACCATGGATTTTAAGGTCCATTCTTTTTCAAATAGCCCTGCTTTACCCCGAGGCCCTTTGCCCTTCTGTCTTTTCTAAGTCCCCCTGAAGGTATCATGTTACTCAGGATCAAGTCCGCTGCCTGTTGTCTCCTGCCTGCCCCTAGGGGCTGAGAAAAAGAATAGAGGTCAGTGTCCTCCTAAACAGAAGGATCTTCAGTGGTTGCACGCTCCACCCTGCCCAGTAGCCCTGCTTATTTTCCTCAGCTGAACATATTTGTTCTCACCCTGAGAGGACTATTTCAAATCCTTTCCACTCCCCCCACCCAGCCTCACACGTCACTCTCTGCAAGATGACCTTCCATCACAATTCACTAAGAAAAGCAAAAGCAAACGAAGAGATGGGAATGCCCTCATCTTCCCACTAGCAAACCAAATGCCTGCCTCAGTCAGTGTGCTCCCCCCCCTGCCTCCTGTTGAAACAGAGGAGCCATCCGTGCCTTCCTCCCGTGGAAGACCAGTGGGACTGGGAGCTGCCCTCCTCCCTGCTGGATTCTCGCCCCACCAGTCTCCCTTCTCCTGCTCACCCAGCTTGTCTGGTGCCACTTAAACACATTCCAAGTCTCTCCCGTGGAAAACAAACAGACCCTTGAACCCTTGGATTCCCCACCCGTCCTCCACCTTCAGTTACCATTTACTCTCCTCCATGGTCAAAAAGGCTGGAAAAGTTGAAATACCACCAGGAGGATAATCATCGCAGCTACTATTTGTCAGAGAGCGCGTTCTTTGTCCTGCTAGAGCCATATACTTCCCCAGGCTCACTCAGTTTGTGCTACGGACGGACAGTCTTTCTCCAGCTGTACTATTCAACTATTATCTCAGTGAATGGCTCAGTCTTTTTTTTTTAAATTTATTTATTTGAAAGAGAGAGAGACAGTGGGGAGGGGTAGAGGGAGAGAGAGAATCTCAAGCAGACTTCCTGCTGAGCACAGAGCCTGACACGGGGCTCCATCCTGGACCCTGAGATCCTGACCTGAGCTGAAACCAAGAGTCAGACACTTAACCGACTGAGCCACCCAGGCGCCCCTTTCCTTTTTTTTTAATCAGAGGGGCTCAGCCTGCACAGTGGCATCACCTGGGAGCTTCCAAGCCCCGCTGCCCACCCGCCCACCCCCTCTGTTCTCCTATTATTCTTGTCTGAGTAGTAGCCTGGCAACAGTATGTTTAAAGCTCCCCAGATGATTCTAACGTGCAGCCAAGACTGAAACCAGCGTAAAGAAACATGTCTCTACCCTCTTGTGTGTGCATTTAAAGTATTTAATGAACAGTATTTTGAATAGATTTCTTCACAAAAGTTAATTTTAAATTCTCTTATATTCCTCTTATTTAAAAAAAAAACAAACAAACAGAGACACCTGGGTGGCTCAGTTGGTTAAGCATCTACGTTCGGCTCAGGTCATGATCTTAGAATCTTGGGATTGAGCCCCATGTAGGGCTCCCTGCTCAGCAGGGGGTCTGCTTCTCCCTCTCCCGCTGCCCCTCCCCCTGCTCGCGAGCATGAGCTCTCTCTCTCTCTGTGTCAAATGAATAAATAAAATCTTAAAAAAATAATAATAAAATAAAAATTAAAAAAAACAATCGTATCTAAGGAAAATGGACCCCACATTGCTGGTGGGAATATGGTACAGCCACTTTGGAAAACAGTTTGGCAGTTTCTTAAAATGTTAAATATAACTTTACCATATGACCCAGAAATTCCACTCGTAGGTATATACTCAAAAGAAATGAAAAAATATGTCCCCATGGAGACTTGTACATGAACATTCATAGAAGGATTAATCATAATGGCCAATAAGTCACCCAAATGTCCATAAAACTGATGAATAAACAAAATGTGGTCTATCCGTACAATTAAACAGTGTATCCATACAATTAAATGGGATACTATTTGGTAATTTTTTTAAGTGCTAATAATACATGTTGCAACGTAGAGGACCCTCGATAATGTTATGCTAAGTTAAAGAAGCCAGACACAAAATTGCATATTGCATGATTCCATTATACTG